CAACACAGGCAGAGGGAGAGAGACACCATGTGATACTTTAATGGTTTACGGATATATTAATGTTTTAAATATGAAATTAAATCTAACTGTATAGCTTTTAAGTTCATCAGTCACATCTGAACACCTGTGTTTGCTTGTTTTTCTTTCCTCTATGAATAAAATCATGTTCTCACCTGCTGTCTGATTTATTTCACAGGCTTTTAGGAAGTTTGACGAGATGAACGGAAAACTGACAGAGCAGTTACGCAAGCTGGCCAAGCAGGTTGTCAACCTCCTTCCTCCTCATCCTCAGCTTTCTTAGTCCTTCCTTATTTATTATGTATTGTTCTGTATGTATTTTATGATGCTATACTTCATTTTGATATATTATATATTAGACATATGTCATACCTGCTGATGTAACTTAATCTGTCAGCTGATCTGGACACCTCAAACACTGACCTGCCTCCTGTGTTACAGCATGTTAAGGAACTGGTAAAGTTATATTGTATAAGCTATAATAATGTTGTAATTATTACGTTAAAATAAACAGTAGATTTTGATGTGAAGAGTTTTGGCTAAATGTTGCTGTTGTCCGTCTTCTGTTAAGGTTCAGGAAGCTCGGCTGGCTCGAGACGATGAAGTGCAGAAGAAAGCTCTGCAGGACTATGACCAGATGCAGGAGAAGTGAGGACACACACACACACACACACAGAGTTAGATGATAAAAAACAGGCTGCTAATTATTGGGGACGAATGCCGGCGTCCAAGTGCGTCCACTAACAGTTACTGTAAGGATCCCTACAGACAAACAGCAGTTTCAGTTTCACTTTTTCTTTTATAATTATTGTAATTACTGAGAATGCCACCCTGTATTTCACTGCACATAAAACCTTTGAATCTTTAATGTAGACATTTTTGCCCCACAAGAAATAAGAATAAGAAACAGAACCGATACTTCACATATTATTCTTACTGTTTTAACCAAAGGCGTCAGTGCAGTTAACTTACAGCACAACTTGTAGTCATCAAATAAAAAATCCAATCAGCTGTTCCTTTTCCGAAGTTCCACAGCTATAAAACATGTTTATGATATCCAGTTTTTCTATTACAAACTGTTTTTCCAGCGTTTCCTCTCCTCCCACCCGACATGAAACCCCCCCCCAGCTCTCTCCTCTGCAGAGCTCCACCTGATTACTTCTCTCTCCGTCCTTCCCGTGTGATTGGTGTGACAGGTACATCGTGGTCCTGATGGCCCAGGCCAAGATCTACTGGAACCGGGAGAACTTCCAGATGGTGGAGAAGATCTTCCGCAAGTCGGTGGAGGTCTGCAACGAGGACGACACCTGGAAGCTGAACGTCGCCCACGTGCTCTTCATGCAGAACAAGTACAAGGAGGCCATCGGCTTCTACGAGCCTATCGTCAAGAAGCACTACGACAACGTGAGTGTGACGGGACGGAGGGCTTAGTGTGGCTCAAATACAGTGCTGTTACTCGGCCCCCGCTGACAGTGTGGGGTCAGGACTAAACCTTGTTAGTTTGCCTTTCTGTCCAGGTGGAGCAGTGTAACATTCAGGAGTGTCCCTGCAAGTGCAAACCCTCGGTAAAAAGAGACCCAACGAACTTCTGTGCTGATGCCTCTGCAGTGTCTTCACATCTGTGCATGACATCTGTCCCGATGATTTTCTGTTCTCGTGTGGGGTGTTTTATTTTGTTTGCAGTGGTGTTAATGCCATCCTGATAAACCTGACTGAACATAACCGGCCCTGGAGGGTTAACGTCCCTCACTGGAAAGGCACAAGAAATTAGAAAGTGATTAAAATGACAGAGCGGCATCGTTTCTTCTCATCCTACCTCAGTGTTTCCCAGGCTTTTTCTATAAGGGACCTCGTTCTGTGATTTGGATGAATTTTGAACTTTTGATACAATACAAACTTATACTTTCTTTTTTAAAGTTTTCTAGCACACC